GGCTAATCACCAATCCTATATCCTCGTATCACGCCTTCACTAACACACTCTTTTACGTGCTTGTTTAAATGTGATATGGTGTTCCATTTTGAGCGAATTTCATGAGAACTCTCCACACCCAACGCTGGCTTTCTCACCTACCCGCACCCCCTTTCACGCTTGTGCTGGGAATGTTGATCTGAGTCTTCCATATTGTTACGCAGTCCTCATTCCCTAGGTCTTATCAGAGTCTCCCCCTTTCCCTGTAGGATCCGTCTACTATCTCCATGGTTCAAGTGTTCCGCTCTAACTCTGCCCGAGGTGTTATTTCCCACCCTCTGCTTCTCGAAGATTAAACGGAGGTTAAAAAACTTAGGTAATTCTCATGGTAAAGCCTTTCCTTCATGGACCACGTCTATGATCAAACACGTCTAGTGTTACCCAACCAGCTCTAATCTTCACCGTATATATTGTGCTTCCATTCATAGTGTCAAGTCTATGACTTGTTATGCCCTAGGCTCTTGTGTGCCAACCCACAAATGTTGTGGTTCTACTTGTTTTTATTAGGTCCAAGGTAGGCCACACCATCTTGGTCTTCATACATTTGATTACTTTACTTATTTTTCGTTTATAACTAGGTTTTCTAGACTACTATTAGATCATATAAATTGTGGCGAGGTCGAAACTGCAGTCGAGTCCTTCATCACTTTAAGGAAATATTGCAAATGCATCTCATATATATTATCTGTTCGTAGTCCTGAAAACCTACTTATAAATGAAAAATAATTATTGTAGTCGATTGTCATAGCAAATACAACTTTGCTTCATTAACAATCCCACTACAGAAGATGATAATGGAAAAAGCCTCACATTCCTTGACATTCACTTCAATTTGGTGACCCAAGGGCACTCGTAGCATTATGGCTTATTGGTTAACATGTCGAGACTATACACTGAACTACCAAGACTTGGATTTGTGCTCCGCTGGGTTTGCTGATAAGACTCAGACGAGGTCAAAACTTTATCTACTCTTGCCTGAATGAGGGAACCTTTTGAGTGGCAAGACTATGTGAAATTCAATTCAAACTTAACACCTACTTACATGATTCTGGGAAATTTTAACTACCAATCCTTCATCTCCTTAAAGAAACAGGCTTAATGCATCTTATATATGAATTATTTGCCTCATTGAAAATCCCACAACAAAATTTTGAGATGAGAAAGGCTTTTCGTCATATCTACGTATTTTATATGACCTGTGGTCACTTGTGGCAGTCTTGAAATTATATCCTGGGTGGGATGCTGATTAGACCCTGTTGTGGTCGAAACTTTAGTCTAGTCAAGCCTGAATAAAATACCTTTTGGAAATCAAAACTATGGGAAATTCAATGGAAGCATGATGCCTTCCTTGTGGTGAAATTCAACCATCATTTTTATATCACCTCATACGACCTAGAATGAATAGGACTCTTAATCTTATGATTTCTGTATGCAAATATCCTAATCTAAATAATCATTGATCTAATCATTACAAATATAGCTTTGCAACTATGGTTTAAGTGTTTTACGAGCGTGTGCGCTTCTAACCTGTCCTATTAGTGAGGTCATGATATTTTTTTAAAAATATACTCGAATTGGTGAAGGGGAGACATAGAGGATATCCCAAAAATCCTGGTTCTCTTTTATATTATGCGTACTTATAGAACCCTATCTGTGGTGAGACCTATCACCATATTTGCCTATGCTTAGGCGAATGCAACAACACTTATGATGAGTTATACTGCTCTCTTCTTCCTCACTAAAAATACACTTACCTCCTGTCGGTGCCATTCAGTGCGCCAATGCATCACCACGGAACCTGGTCCTGCCAACGGCCTGTCTTCGGACAACAGCATTTCAGTAAACCGTGCCGCTGTGACGATCCAATCACTGCTAGGGCCTGGCGAGGTGAATCCGGTTAGGGTGAAATGCACCAAAATACTATTGCAAACCGGTTCCTCGCAGAAACTGTCATTGCCATATGCTTTGTTAAGTCCGACAGATTTTTTACTCTTTGAGCAGTCATCGCTATCATCTACTGTGCTACTTTCTCTGTCCTGAATAGAAACATTCGAGTTTTCATTGGCTTTAAACTTAGCGTCAATGTCTGAGGCTGAGATTTCGCGAAGTCCTATGCCCAAAAGACGACCCGCTGTGGTACCAGCTGTGAAGGAAATGCGCACACTGTGATTGATTGAGAAGTTGCCTGAGCCCAACTGGGAATCAGGGAAGGCGAGACATTTCAGCTCATTCTGTATTCGCTGCATCAACTAAGATGTGAACCAGAAAATAAAGAAGAGCGAAGTTTATATATGAACTAGATGCAGTCGCCTCGCTACATTGGGGTGAATATAAGAAAGTACTTTGGCATGACATTTGGCCACAACCGAGCCCTCTTTGTACAAAGATTAAAAAAACAGCATCAGAACCAAGTTACACGAACACTGATCAAAACCAATGAATGGGCAGAAGAGACTAAAGCGAAGTCGTACAGCCTAAATATAAAAGGCTTATTGGGAGGCGTAACAAAATGGAAATATTAGAGTATTCGTCTTATTTCGTTTAAGGTAATAAGGAGACTGGTAGTTGAATTTACCCACATTTATATGAGTGGAGCTGAAGTTTCCATTGAATTTCACATATCTTTGCTTTCTCCAAAGATACTATCATCCAGGGTGGATTGAAATTTCGAGTTCGCCTAGTCTCATCAACATCCCCAGCCGGACTCGAACCGTAATATTGCAGTGTATATTCTCGACACATTTAAAACTAGGCTACATTGCCACGAAGGCTCTTGTGTCACAGGACAGATGTGAACTTCAAGGAAAGCCAAACATTTTTCCATAGCTATATGAGATGTATTCATCTTATTTTGTTTAAGGTGATGATGGACTGGTAGTAGAATTTTCCCACAATGATATGAGAAGAGTTGAATTTTCCATTGAATTTCACATAACCTTGCTTCCCAAAAGTTGTTCTCATCTATGGTGGACTGCAGTTTCGACCTCGCCTCGGTCTTATCAACACCTCAAGTGGGATTCGAACTGTGACTGATTTACTACTACTCTTGAAACTCTGCTTATATACGAAAAGTAAGTGATGTAGTCGAATGTTATATCAAAAATACGATTGCTTCATCGACAATCCCACCAAAGAATCTGATATGGAAAAAACCCAAGGGCGCTCGTGGCAATGTGGCTGAGTGGTTAATATGTCAAGCTCACATGCTGTATTGTCACCGTTCGACTCCCGCTGGGGCTGTTGATAAGACCTAGGCGAGGTCGAAACTGCCGTTCACCCTGAATGAGAACAACTTTGGGGAAGGCAAAGCTATGTGAAATTCAATGGAAACGTCAGCTCTACTCATATCATTGTTGGAAAATTCGACTACCAATTCTTTACCACCTTGAACGAAATTGGCTGAATACATCATATATAACTTATTTATTGGTAGTTTCGAAACTCTGCTTATATACAAAAATGTTTCCATAGCATCTTAAACGAAATAGGCTGAATACTCTCATATATATTATCTACTGGTATTCTCGAAAACCTGTCTATAAAACGAAAAAGAAGTAATATAGTCGAATGCTATAGCAAATACAACTTTGATTCATCGACAATGCCTCCGCTGAATGTGATATTTTAAAATATCTGGCCATCCTTGAAATTCACATCTCCCCTTTGATCCAAAGGCACTCAGAGAATTGCGCCTTAGTGATTAGCGTTCGATCACGTTTTGACTGCTGTCCACTCTGAATGAAAATACCTTTCGTAAATCAAAGCCAGACTTCAATAGAAGCTAAGGCCTATTCATAATATTGTGGTAAAACTGAAGTACCAGTCCCCTTATCATCTTAAACGAAATATAATGAATATTTTCATATATATGATCTACTGATAGTAATGTAAACCTGATAATAAAACAACAAGAAGCAAGAGGAAGTTTAGTGCACAATAAAGCTTTCAATTGAATTCCTCTAAGATAGAATCGTTGAGTTCTTGTTACATCAAAAGCCAAATGGTGGATCTTAAAGTAGAACCTCTAATTGACCTTCTTCCCCTATCTTATATCTTGTAAGATTGGCAACCTATATTCTAAATACAATGTCATTAAAAATAATGGCCCCTTCTAGGACTTGACTATGGCGAGATAGGAAAAAGTTTGATATCGATGCTTATTAGTAAAATTTGGATAGCTAAATTTAGCAATACCACTTTCAGGCCTAGAAGTGAAGCAGGAAGATGACATGCAGATACTGCGGAAAATTTGGTGGGTAAAGTGGCTTCAGCATCAGCATAACGTTGTAAATACTAAGAGTAGCTGGGTTCCGATTGATTTATCAAGATAACATTGTTGTATAGACTTTACTTTTGTATGGAAGTTCATAATGAAGAGATCCATAGATCGATCTTGCCGAAATACGACGGATGCTTTCCATCGGTCTGTAGCTGTTTTACTTTAATAATGTTTTCAGGTTGACGCGGTCCATGAACCGTCCTCTCGCATTTCGGGTGAAAATGAGCTTAATAAATAATTATGCTATATATAAATACATATATTCATCCGAAACGAGTGAGAAAATATCCTGGACTGCCTCAACCTGAATATAGTAGCAAAGCTTAATGACCAGAGAACAAAGAGAATCATTCGTTGTCTTCCGGTGAGATCGGCCTTCGAATCGCCTTATCATGTACTTTCGCAACAATCAACAATATATTATTGCCATGTGGTGCTATCTGAACTCTTCCTTGAAGGTTTCCTTTTATCTTGCCCTACAAGTCATTGTCATTTGTGGCACATTACCCAATAGAAAGAGTATTACAACCAAGATTGAATCATGGTATGGGCGAGGTAGACACTGTAGTCCATTCAGAGTGCAAATGCCTTATGGAAAACAGGGTTAACTTTTCTTTATTGCATTGTAAGCTAACCAAATATAAAGCATAATAGTACTAGAGAAACCCATGCTGACCATTGTAAAAATTCATAGTTTTAGATTCTTTTATATCATCCTTTCAGCCTATTATGCCCAGAATCTTATTTTAAGGGCTTAATTTTGGCAAAGTTTTCATTAGTCAAATCCCCTAAATTTCTTTAAAGTCGGGGCATCAAGGTCAAACGATAATATGAAATTTAAGGGATTAAGATAACTCATCTGTTTGGAAATCCGTTTCTTTATCGTTGAGACAAACAAAAGAATTATTAAAGCTGATTCCTTCTATTCGAGGAGAATGCCCACTTTATTGCAGAAAGTAAATTTTGTTTATAAGTCGGTTCTCGAGACTACCAGTAAATCAATAATTTATAAGTTGTATTCACCCATACAACTCGTATAATTGATTTACTGTTAGTCTAGGTAACTTAATTATAAACGAAAAACAAGTAACATAG